CACCCCTCGCCCAGCACCAGGAGCCCCGGGGGGTGGCTCGGGGTCAGCTTTAGGGTCAAGGTCAGGGTTGGGGTCAGGGTCAGGGTTAGGGTCAAGTTTGGGGTTAAGGTTAGGGTCAGGGTTAGGATTAGGGTCAGGGCTGGTGTTGGGGTTTGGGCAAGGCTGAAGGTTAGGATCAGGATCAGGCTCTGGGTTAGGCTCAGGGTTAGAGTTAGTTTAAGGGTTAGGGTTGGGGTCAGAGTTGGGCTCAGGGTCAGGGTTAGGGTCAGGGTTGGGATTAGGGTGAGAGTCAAGCTCAGGCTCCAGGTTAGGGTTAGTGGAAAGGTTAGGCTGGGGTCAGGATCAGGGTCAGGGTTAGGATTCACCAGTCTGAGGCTTTTCTGTCCCTGCCTCGGCACGGGGTGGCAGACGGCCTGAGGCTGGGCACCCGCTGGGTGCCCTTCTTGGGAGCCGCCAGCCCTGCTCTGCCAGGGGCTAAGCAGGTCACCAGCCCTTTTCCCACCAAAAGTGAAGGGATCCAGCCAAAATGCAGCACCCGAGGGTGCCGGGGGACCCCACAGCATCACCACGGCCCCCTTGGCGGGGTCCCAGCGTGGGGTCAGCCCCCTCCCGAGCCCCCGCCCGCCCCCGCAGTGTGACATGCAGAAGCTGACGGTGGACGAGCTGAAACGGCTGCTGTACGACACCTTCTGCGAGCACCTCTCCATGAAGGACATCGAGAACATCATCATGACAGAGGAGGAGAGCCACATGGGCACGGCCGAGGAGTGCCCTGTCGACGTGGAGAGTGAGTGCCGGCTGGCTGGGGATGCCAAACACCCCAGCCCCAATGCCACGGGGATGGCACTGGGTACCCGGGGTACGGAGGGGCGTTGGGGTAACATCCCCGGCTCTCCCCTCTCCAGCCTGCTCCAGCCAGCAGATCCGGCAGACCTGCGTGCGGAAGAGCCTCATCTGCGCCTTCGCCATCGCCTTCATCATCAGCGTGATGCTCATCGCTGCCAACCAGGTGCTGCGCAGTGGCATGAAGTAGCGGGGCCGCCCCGAGCGCCTGCCTCTGGCCACCGACGGGGAGCCACACCTATAGTGGGGAGTATAGATATATATATATATATATATCTATATATATCTCCATATTTGAATCAGACACACAAACCCCCCCCCGGGAGAGGGGCAAACCCGAGGGGGGAAGACCCGCGCCGGGTCCCCACTGTCCTGGTGCGACGCGATCGCATGGCTGTTTGCAGAACATGGAAACTTTGATAAAGACACACAAACACACGAAAAAAACCCTAAACCTGTAAGTGCATGTAACGTGCATGGAGCCCCGTGTGCTGCCCCCTCCCCGCGCCGGGGGCGGATTGCCCCCCCGGGCGTAGGATCCCGTCGGATACACCGATACTAGCGTCTATAGCTCTATATTTATGATAAAAACCAAATCATCCCCTAAGCAATACACGCGCCTGAGATGGTTTCTGGTCTGCGATGGGAGCGTTTGCATGGACTTGGCTGCCAAGGGCTGGATTTCACCCCCCTCCCGCCCGCACCCCCACATATGCAGGGTTTCTGCCCCAGCAGCAGGCTTTGCAGTCCTAGTGATGGCACCTACCTGGTGGTTCTTTGTGGACCCCCTCCTTATCTGCAAGGTATAGAAAGCAATGAGTTTCCTGGAGTTTTTCCTTGGTTTAGTTGGGTTTTTTTGGGCCGTAGGACGCTGGCTCTGCCTTGTGGGTTTTCCATGTTACCATGATATCAGTAACAATAGTAGAAGAATGATTTATTTATTTATTTATTTATTTATTTATTTATTTTCTCTTCCTGGTTGGTTGTTTCTGATCTGAAATAAAACTGGCATTTCTGAAGTGCTCTGGGCTGCTGGGGCTCCTGGCGATGTGGGGGGCAGGGACGGGGCTGGGGTGGGGACAGACATGGGGTGATGGGTGCCAGGCGGGTGTAGGGCCATGGGGGCACCCATGGGTGCTGCTGAGCTGCTGCCAGTCTGTGGCCGAGTCCTCCTGGCAAAGGGGGGTGAGCAATGGCCGGGGCTCTGTGGCCCCCAGCATCCCAGGGGCCGGAGCATCCCCAAACCTGGGCTGGAGGGGACCCAGTGGCTCCCACCAGCGCCGGGGGGGGTTACACCCCCGTGTCACCTACCCCGGTCCAGCCGTGGATCCTGCTGTGGATGCCGCCCTTTCCCATGCATCGGTGCAAGCGCTGAGCGGTTTTACTCCCCCTGCCTTGTCTCCATGCCCTGATATTTTATGTTGGCAAATGGTTGAAGGCCATTTGCCTTACAAAGCGCCTTGACAGGGAGAACACGCGGCCCGAGCATGTTCCCAAAAGTGCTTTCACCCAGCTTAACCGCAAATCCAGGGAGAGCCAGGATCCGGCCCGCAGCACCGGGGGCTCAGAGCGGCTCCGGGGGGGTCACCGTCCTGCCCGGAGTCTGGCAGGGAGGGGAGCAACCCTCTTACTCCTGATTTACACCAGGGTGGTGTAATCCCCTCCGTGCTGAGCGACACCGTCCCGCTGATGAAAACACGGCCGTGCTCGTGCAAACCACCGTGGCAATCACGTCCGCCTAATGGAGCGCCCTCCCCAAGCCCCCGAATGATGCATTTTTAATGACAAACAGATTAAAATAATAAATAAAACCAGGGGAAGCTCTCGGTGCGGTGAGCGTGCGGGGCAAGGCTGCTGCCCCCCGCCGCAGGCGGTGCTGGGGGGGTCCCCGTGGGGAAGGGGCTGGAGGTGACCATCCCCGGGGCGTTGGGGCTGGGGCAACCCCAGCCTTCACCTCCCTGGAGCCCTGTTTGATCCCCTCATGGGGAAAACACATTTCCAGGGATTTCCCAGCCTCCAGACGGGCCTCCCCAGCACCAAGAGGGGGGACACCCCATTTTTGGGATGCCGGGAGGAATCGGCTGCGTTTATTGATTTGGGGTTTGGGTTGGTGTTTTTTTTTTTTTTTTTTTTTTTTTTTTTTTTTTTTTTTTTTTTTTTTTTTTTTTTTTTTTTTTCCTTGATCTCGTATAATTTATCAAACAAATTGAACCGAACGTCCAAATGAGAAATGAAAATGGGAAGTGCTCCACGGCAATGAAATCATTTCGGCTGCCTCGCAAAGTGGGGAAGGCTCTGCGCCCGTAATGAAATTTCATCCATCTCCCCGCAGAAAGTTTTGATTTTTTATGAACTGGCATTTCCAAAGGAAGCCACGTGGCCTTGGAGATGTCTGTGTATATATATATTTTTAACCAGGTCTATTATAGACGTTGTGAATAAACATAAGGGAGCCAAAAAGAAAAAGAGGACAATTTAATTTGCTAGAAAATACAATAACATAAAAGAAAAATTAGATAAAAGGAATAATGCGATCCCCCAAGCTCAGCTTTTCAAAGCTGCTCAATTAATTTTAATGGGAATTGGGAGAAGGGATTTCTTCAGGCGGGGCTGGAGATCGCAGCTCCCGATCCAGGAGCCGCCGGGCCCCAGGTGGGCAGCACGGGATCCCGGCCACGTTCCCTGCACGCCAGCCTCGCACCGCTCTGCCGCAGCCGGGGACGGCTCATTGCGGCTGCTGCGAGACAGCGATGCTCCTCGCTAATTTAATTAAATGCTCACTAGGAAAGGAAAAAAAAATTTTACTCTGCAAGCGCTGCAGCGGGATGAGGGAAGGTGCCGGGGAGGTGTGGGGCTGCTGTGGGTGAGGGGGAGAGGGACCCCTCCGGTCCCCGCCGGACAGAGCAGAACCGGCACCAAAACCACTGGGGCTTGCAGCGCTGAGATTGCCATAGCACCGAGAAGTGCTTTGGGATCGGGAGGGGAGAAGTTGGTAAAGGTTATTTCTCCCTCTGGTGCTGCCAGCAGTCTGAGATGGGCTCAGCCCCATCCATGTCCCCATCCCCTCTCCCCATCCCCGTCCCCGTCCCCTCTCCCCATCCCCATCCCCATTCCCATCCTTATTTCCATCCCTGTCCCCATTCCTGTCCCTGTCCTCATCCCTGTTCCCATCTCCATCCCCATCCCTGTCCCCATCCCCCTCCCCACCCTCTTAAAAGCTTCCCGATAAATTACTCCCGCTCTTGCTCTATAAAAGGCACTTTGGCTCGTGCCGTCACTAAGGGGCCGCAGCTCCTCTTCGCCCACCCCGGGGCAGCCAGGACCTGCCGAGGATGCTGAGCATCCCTGCAGCATCCTTTGGGAGCCGGGCACCAGCCGTCCCGCAGTGGGAGCAAGGGAAGGAGACAAGCGCCCTGTCCTGCTTCGGCGTTTTCCTCCCCACCGTGCAGCTCTCTGCAAAGAGGTTTTTTTCCTCGGGTTAGCCCACGCCAGCCGCGTCCCGGCCCCGGCAGTGATACATGCCATCATTACATCTCCTGACACCACGCTGTAAAATACGCCCCCATAAAAGCCTGTAATTTACAGGCTCCTACAAGTACCTGGGAGTTACACGGCTCCGTGAATACAGGACACCCTACAAGCGATGCTCAGCTCAGCCCCGACGGCCGGAGATCCCACGAGCTTTTGCAGGAAAACCCGATTTTAATTAAACCCCCTCGCCAGCCCTTCTCAGCCTCCCCCGGCCAGGCTGGTGCTTGGCGGGGAACGCTCCCGCTCGCAGCTTTCCGGCTTTACTGGGAATTTCTGCGTCACAAGCAGCTCATCTCTTCGGGAGCGAGGA